CCAACCAAACCAGCATGGTGCAGCACAGCATGGCCAAGTTCCCCAGCTTTATAGGCTGCTCAGTGTTAGGGGATAGGAAAAAGTACAGATGCTACAGCTACCCTGTGGCCTCAAACCAGTGATGAGCCCACAATCTTACAGCTCTTCACATCAAGGCAGCACTCATCTCTTTCTTGCTTTCAATGGGAGCTACACACTACACCTATTGCTGTTAGCAATAGGAAGTGCACAAGCAGAGCCAGAGCCCTGATGAATTCACTGCACATCACAAGATATTTCTCAGCTCTGGTACAGGAAAAGCTGCTAATACTGCTGGCCTGTTAGCTGGCATTTTGGTGTCCTGGCTCTAGCCTGTGTTTGAGACTGGTTTGCTCACTATGGTGCTACAGCTCTCAGAGTGACTCCATTCAGTGCTATCTGCACTGGCTACGGGGGGGTTTGACTTTGTCAGATCTCTCTTTGGCTTGAGTTCCTATGGCTTCTCCTGTAAGTTGGTGACAAATCTCTCAGCCACCGAGAACACCGCCAGCTCTCAGGGTAGGGACTCTCTTGGGAGTTAACATACAAAGTATGTATGTTTTTTTTCTGAGCATTGTCATGGAAGCCTGACCCTCATATCACTGGTCACAGCATTCTAAAACACAAAGTACATGGATCCTTAAACACCTCCTAACATTAATGGATTCTGTTCTCCACCATGGGGTTCCCTATTGCTATCTCACACTGACCCCTCAGTTTCATTTCTCCTTCACTGCCAGCATGGAGCCTTCCTTCCTGCTATGGGTTTCTGATCACAGTCCGTCTCTGACATCACACCAGGTATCATACTTCATTTCTCTTGCTAGTGCTGCATCACTATAGCCTGCCACCAGAAGTAGTCATAGAGTAGAAGAGGATTTTTATGAGCTTGCTTCACTGAAAGCTGGAAGAGAGATTGCTGCCAGCTGAGGATACCTTACCTGTGGAGATTTGGCAGATTTCCAGGCTCTTTGTTCCCTCAGTACAGAGGATCAAGCACACTCCATCTCCTGATAGCAGTGGTGATTTTTGTGTAGTCAAGATAGTTGGTAAATCCACCAAAAATGTTCCCTCTTCTCCCCTGAGCTCTCTTGAGCAAATAAGACAGAGTATTTCAGTGCTGCCAGCAAGAATGGGATGTCAACTCAAAGGCAGAGGCTGCTCAGCCCTTTGTGGGTGTCCAGGGTGAATGAGAGCAGCTGCTCGCTCCTGCTGCACAGCACTTCCCATTTCATCTCAGCTGCAAGACTAGACCTGACATCAAAGCCCACAGTGCTCTGCATCTGTCCCTCTCCCTTGCACAGGGAAACAAGTATTATCCTAGTGAGCCAGAAGGAAATCTGATTCTTTTTTTTTAAAAGAATCTTGCTTGCTCTGGACTACACACACTCTTTAGCCTGAAAAGCCGGGATGCTGTCAACATTTAGCTGTGTAGAATGCACACATATGCAGCTTGAATTTCTATGCAACATAACCACCATGTATCTGTTGATCTGTATTTTACTAGCTGTAACCCTGCTTGCCATATTTGGTCTCCATCTTCTGAAGGAACACACTGGGAATGGGACTCATTTCATCTACAAAAAGTATAAGAGTTTCAGCACTATGGGAAGCAGGAACATCTTTTTATTGAATGCCTATTAAATTTATTTTTTAAAAAAAAAAAAACAATTGCAGTGTGCTAAGCCTTCCAGCTTAGTTTCAATTTTTGGTTAGACCTTAGCCATCAATAAGACATATACCAATTTAATCCATTCCT